TTGATTCTATTATGCCACATAGCCATACAACAACCCTTTACTTAAGAGTTTTTAAATCAAAGGAGAATGGTAAGAAAAGAGAAGAATATCCTTCTTATTATCTGAGTCATACCACTCATCATCAAGGAGGTTATCTTCATCAGAGATATTATCCAATGATTTGAAGAGTTTCTTGGATGAGGTATCCCCAGAATCTCTCTTGGGCTCTGCTTTTGGACTTACCTGAAGTGGCTTGGAGAGAGGATCAACCAGAAGGATGATTCCTTTTGAAATTAAATCAATGGCTTCCTTAGTAGGAGCCCGAGTGTTAAGAAGCATAACAATAGGAATCTCACTAACCCATAATTGCTCCATTAAGGCAGCTGATGGAGTGGCTTTGGAGACCACACTAAGGGTCCCAAGTAACTCCTCAGTGGGCCATGCAGTCTGCACAATAGATGGTATATTTACGAGCACTATAATGGAGTGACAAGTATATCTTTGTCTCTTACTATGATGGCCACGGGGGTAAGGAAAGTAAAGGAGTTCTTGCCAACAACTATCAAAAAATAGAAATCATCCCCACAACTACTAACTCATTGATGGGTTGTTGTTGATCAAAGTAGTATGAGCAAAAAGTAAGTCTTATGTAATTATTTGCCTCACATATCGAGTCTTCTTGTCGGGCTTTATTATTCATAATTCTTTTATTCAAAAAAACTATAATAGAATATTTATTTAGCATAATTTGTCAAAAATATTTAGTAAGGAATTCTCTAATATATGTTATTATTTCTAAAATGGACACATCTAGTGATTTTGTAATGAGCAACCAATTATGCCTCAAATAGTAGATGTACGTACATATGCTCAATCAAGTAAAACATTGGTTAACAATATTCTTCTGAGCTTGCACAATTTTATTAGAATTTACTTTTAATTATCATAATTAACCAACATTTATACGAACAATGCATAAATCTACATATAATGTACTGAATTAATTAATATATTAAGTAGTTCACTTGGTAAGCAACTATATGCATGTAACAACAAACTTTCCAAGAAAACATGACAGTCTTGACTTTTCATTACAAATATACTTTCCACTCCTAAGTGAACATGATTCAAAATAGAAGCATGACATCTCAAAAACTTTAATGACTGTAGCCACTCACAAGATTCTTTTTGTTTAACCAAAGTAAGATAATATTTTGTATTAGTCTTAATAAGTTTGCAGGAAGCAATCTCTTGAATCTCCAACTCTCTTCTTCTATAAAACTCGTTTAAGTAAAATCTAGCATTCACTTTTTTTATATTTTGCCCTTAACATCCATCACAGTGTTGAAAATATTATCAAAAAAAAATTTATGTGTACATGACAACTAGATTATGTCTATTAAAATTAGTCTAGTAAGACAGATCCCAAAAAATGATAATTTATCCAATTATTTAGCACAAAAATCAGGTAAATATTGTGAAGATAGCTTGCAATAATCAATAATCTTTTGAATTTCATTAACAATCTGACACAACTTATTATTGTTAGTGGTGGTCCTAATTTCTTAACTTTATTATGTCAAAATACATTTTAATTTCACCTAAAAGCGTGATCAATAGGTAAAAACATATATTGATAGTGAAATCATGAAATTTTTTGTCATGTTGAAGGGTAAACATCTTTGAAAAATCCATGCAAGCAAGCTAACTTCTTCACAATGCTCTATCCTAATAAAATTTTATATATTAGACAATCACTTATTATTCACATTAAAATGTTTTTCATTTGAACTTTTTGTTTCATAGAAATGAAATAAGCGATGGTAATTATTTCCTAAAGATTTTGTAGCTCGTTTATCAGCAACTACAAATATACATTAATTCTTCCTTTTGGGCTATTGAGACATGGAATAATTAATATTAGAAATATGAAAGGGGTAGTCATACACATCTCAGGTGGAAGATTCTACGGAATAACAATCACATACCAATATGAGTAGGGTAGTCTGACTATACGATGTGAACCCATTAGCACACAAACCAAGCCTAACTTTACATGACTCCACAACGAATTCAGGATAAATATGATCAAAATATTTATATGCTTTTCCATTTGTTTGATGACTTAATGAATAAATTTCATGTGTTTTATTATGATGTCCTCTCATATACAGAGTAGTACACATAGAAGTAAATAGTATTTAAAGACGTTAAATGAGTGGCAAATAAAAGAGGTGCAAGTATAAATCTTTATTCTATCCCTTACTTTTTCTAAATTTTGAATCTTGGAGCATAAAAAAATCTGCACCAAGACTCCATTCAGTTCATTGTATCAGCCTTATAAAATAGTTTGCATCCATTTATATAGTTATCCATCTTTTCAAATTTCAAACCTAACTTAAAGAGTCTTTTTTTGGTTTTGTGTATGTTTTGTGACATTATATTTTCTTGTGAATTTGTGTCTTTTAGTAATCTTGCAATCTAAATAAATCATTCTTAGGGTATGCTAAACTTTATTTTAATTGTCAGTAGTCTAAAAGTCATAAATAACTCAAAATAATATATGCAATCTTCCCATAATGGTTTATGCGTTGCATTCAATAATTCATAAAACAACTAAGCTTTTTTGTTTGGTGGGTTTTCCTCCATTTGACTCACATAATGAGTTCTTGTTCCATTGAATTTTTTTTTTTAAATCTATTTGTGTCATAGTTAGCTGGAGGATCGTAGCTCGATAAAAAAGCATAGTTTATTAAAGGACCAACTTTAGTGTAAATTTTAGGTTCAACCACACAATGTGAAGTCTAAAAATAGCTATTTGATTGAAATTTCCTTCGGTACAAATCATATTTGAAGTCATCTGATATTAAGTATCTCGACCCTTGTGTTTCGCAAATGCATGGGCATCAAAACTCACCCTCATATAGGTGTCAAATGTTGAGTTACTACTTGCACAAATGACTAACACCGTTAAAAAACTCCTCAGTTAGTCTTTTTCTACCCGGATGTAGTCTGTTGTAAATTCTAGACCTTACAATGCAAAAATTAACAAATACTTTATTTATTTAATTAAAAAATAAATAAGCAAAGTTACGTAATTACTATATAGAAGTACTAAATTGAGTTATATATGATTTAAAAATGAAGCACTACACACCATATAAACGCAACATTGTCGATATACCAAAGGTAAAATCTTGATCAGTGTGTATCATGTACAAAGGGACATCAACTTACATATCACTCAATTCTTATAAGTTATGTATAAAACACATAGACTTGCTTATTTTCATATAAACATGACAACCATGTGAATTACATACATACCACGTAATTCATATCTGTTGACACATCTAACTGCAACCCTTGCATATTCAACTCTAAATAGATTTATAAACTATTCAATTTCAATATAAGCAGGGGCCGGCTTAATATTTGCTTGAATGGAAACGAGCTGGCTCAAATTGAGCAATTTAGATTCGTTCCAGCTTGAAAATCTCAAAGATCTGGCCCGTTTCAATTGATTGACCTTAAAATAAATTGTATACAACTAAATTACACAAATATTTTAGCACTTGTACAACTCAAAATTTTACGAAAAATTTACATACATAAATACATACAACTCGAGACTTAAATATTTAAATATATAACACCAAAATTCTAGTTTTTGGATACACACCACCTTACATTTATATGAAAGACGTATTTGACTTTTCAAAAGTTAAAATGATGATATTTTTTATATGATATGAAATATTCGGGTAATATATGTAAAATATAAAACTTTTGGTGCTAGACATATAAATACCTAAGAATTTAATGGTATGAAAATAACAATTACTTTAAAATATAAACCCTCACAATAAGAATGAGATACATTACCAAAATACAGATCTTTTTGTAATGAATGGTATTGTATTATGTATTCTAACGTTGATGATCTCTTATTTATATGCTTGGGTTGGTGTGCATCTTACACACACACACACATAAATATTTAATAGAGCAAATCTAGCCTATTTTTTTATGGGAGACAAATTGTCCCCCTAGACCCAATGTGGGAGGGGATAGGGCAACGAAAGACAAAGTGATAATTCAACAGGGATAATAGGCCAATTTGCCCGCTCATATGAGAAAAGACCCGAATCTGAGAGGGGCAGTTACCCACCTAGACTCTACATGAATCTGCCTATAGATATATGTATGTGTGTGTGCTTTGCAATCAAAATGCAAAATATCTAGTGTGATCTATAACTTGATGAAATGCAAGCTCATTAGTGTCGCCTTTCAAGTTGTCGAATGTAGCTCAACAACAACGAAATTGACAAGCATGTGTTGGTCAAATGACGAGATAATAAATATATGTTTGTCACTTAGCTGAGTGATTGTTTGTTACATTGCTTGAAGGAATCATCTTGGGCGAATCCAACATCTTTGCTAAATAAGTTTGCCCAAGTCATTACTAGACCAAATTGACCTTTGAGCTATGCTAACTAGAACTCCACCCTTTATGATATTTGACAACATATCCTGCATTCAGCTATATAGCATTGAAGTTTAAATATGATGACATGAATAGTATTTCAAGGTTGCACTTCTTGGAGTCACCATTATAATTTGTGAACAGTGATAAATATATTTTTTGGATGCCGTCCAAAGTATAAGGAATCTCATGCTTATATTAACGGGGCTGTCACTTTAGCATCAAATGTCTAACATCAAAATAAGAAAAGAATCAAAATCTTATCTTGAAACGGCCGAAGCCTCAACATCTTTTTCTCATGTGCTATCTCCCAAATATTCCAAAAATTCCACAATCTCTTAAATCCTTGCCAGTTTCAACAAAACTAAAGCTCAACAAAGCTCATCCCCTCATCCATATACAAGTCAGAACTTTCTGACACATTCAAATCTATCCATCAAACCATAAAGTTGAGCTTTACTACAAAATGCATCTTTTCCATGCATGCTATATATAAGTATACACAAACAAGTCCTGCCATAAACAACATTGGCTTTCTTTCTGAAACTAAAACAAGTGGCAATGGAGGAGGTGAAGAGTTTGGTGTCCAAAAGGCCAGTGGTGATCTTCAGCCTGAGCTCATGCTGCATGAGTTACACGGTGAAGAGTCTGTTCTTTGATCTGGGCGTTAACGTCGACGTACATGAGCTGGACGAGGAGGCTCAGGGGAAGGAAATGGGAAGCGCACTGGCGGGCCTCATTGGACGAAATCCCCCAGTTCCAGTGGTGTTTATCGGAGGGAGATTGATAGGATCTACAGATAAAGTCATGTCTCTGCATCTTGGCGGCAAGCTGGTAAAGCTTCTCAAGGATGCAGGGGCTCTCTGGCTCTAGCGTAATGGAACTTATGTTTTAGATATGTTGAGAGATTGGAAGGCCTTTTGATGTGCGACATAAATAAGGATACATTCCACATGCACTATGAATGTTTGCTTTTAGGGATCAAGTAATCCATGGAGAATAGTTTTTGTTGATGTTCTTATATTGAAATAAAATGAAAAAAAATAATTAATACAAACACTATATATACATACTTTATATACATATATATATATATATATATATATATATATATAT